GTTTCTAGGGTTAGATCATGAATGCGCAAAGATAAAGCCGGAGATGGGCCGAGGGGAAGCCTTTGGCGGGCAAGGATGTTCATAGGGGCGATCTTCGGACCTGACGGGGAGGTGTCGATGGTTTGGTGTGTTGAGTCTTTGCGCGGCTCTACTGGAATTTCATGTGTCAATGGTCGTTTGGCGTTTCGGTACCCCCGCCCCCTCCCTCTTGGGCCTTGTTTGGCGCAGGAGGTTTTTCAGACCCCATGGTGGCCGACGGTGGCGGAGCGTGAACAAAATCCAAGGTGGGGCCAAGCGAGGGCAAAACAACTAGGATGATTAAAACGCCCAAAAATTAGAAGAGAGATTATGCTTTCCATGGCAGTTTTGTATGGGAGGAGGGGGCCAGGGCCTGGGATGGCCCCGCCGACGCTCTGCCAGTAGTGGGTGATTTGGTGAATCCCTCTCCTTCACCAAATCCCCGACTCACCCCCACCCCCATTCCTTCTTTCTCATCTCTAATCCATTTTCTACAGTAGTGTGGTTTTATACACAAAGGGGGGCGCAGGGCAAGTGCGAGGAAGATAATCGTAGTAGAGAGAAGGTCACTATGCTGCCAGGAAAGGAGTGTGGCGGTAGGAGTTGGGTGTCGGCTGGAGGTAACTGTGGCATGGAGATTTTGTTGGGCATCGCCTTGCCGTGGCTAACGCTAATAGAGATCCATGACCCTTAGCTCGTCGCTTCGTTTCCACGGGGCATCAAGGGTTTCACACGGGAAAATCGGGGGGAATTGGGGTTGACCTAGCACAATTCCCGCGTACCAAACAGCCCACTTGGGACTATTAGGGATGTTCAATCTGAGCGGGATAAACCCTTAGAAACCCTGCCAATACCCGCCTGCCAAACAAGGCTTTATATGGAAGGCCGGCGAAAGGCAGCTGACCGGCTGTGAAGGTTATGCAATTGCAGTGTTGAACATATGAACAAGTAATCAAGCAAATACTAGTTATATCCAGTTTTTTTAACATACTATAGCAGTTATATCATCACCACATATTCTAGAGTAAGGGAAGCTGATGTCATACTAAAAAACCTAGCAGAACGGTAGGCAAACACCACATAGCCTCATAAGTTCATACTGAAGTTCTGCTTGCCAGAACACTAAGCAAAGGCAAAGCTTTATAAGTTGAACAACTGAACCAACAACATCATTTACGCAAAATGACCCGTTAACAACTTAACATAATGAGTTTAACCATGAGCAGCGCTACACTTTCAGCGCACCATTTTTCCTGTTACTCTGTTAGGAACAAACAATGGATTCGAAGCTATCACCATTCTGACAACTACCCTCAACAGCAAGCTATTCATCAATAGGCAGAGATACCACATATTCATCTTTGATGAAACATACTCGTATGGTTTGACTCAAAAGAGTTAAAGGTATAATTCAGAAATCGCTGTGACAATGAATCGAGGCCTGCACTTTACATCAGATCATCCTCACTCACAAAAACAGAGGAAAACAAGATAGATCACACTGATTATCTTGTTTTCCTGCTACTGTATACCGCACCGATGTGGCATGAGAATATTTAAGTCATGTACAGTGGAATTGAATGATTCACAGGGGAAAACTATTATCCAGCATGCACAGCAGAGGGTTTTCCTGCTACTGAATACCGATTTTAACACCTCTGATCTGGAACAAAATTAACAAGACTTCGAGTTCAAACCCACCATTCGGATCTCTGCAGTCTTAGAAAGAAAAGGGGATACTGCAAAGTGTAGAGTTTTCAAACATTTAACTTCATTTGCAGCTGGGCATTTTGTTGACTAATTGCCAACCATTGCTGGACAGATTTCCTCCGTTGACGTGAGATATCTACCATCAATATCAGTTTAGGAAGCTAAAACTACCAACGAACCAGAGAGATACATGCTTTCCTGCTACTGTATATCGATCATACGATACTTTAACACCTTGGATCTGATGCAACACTAGGAACCCAACAGTCTTAGAATGAAAAAGAGAAACTGAGAATGCAGACACATCAATAGTTTTGAAATATTTAACATTTTTTACAACTGAGCAAGTAAGCATTTTTTACATCTCTATCATCAATATCAGTTTAGGAAGCTAAACTTACTAACACAAGAACTTTAAACTATCGGAAACCAGCACTTTTGAAGTCGAAATACTGTGACTTCACAACTGCAGAAGAAAATAAGCCATCAACAAAGATAAAAAGTGCATACTGTGGCATGGAGTAATTACAGAGTGGATTCTCAACATACGGTGTAGAACTCAGTACTTCATTACGGTTTGTATGAGATGCATTTCCATCACCATACGTCTTCTGGTTAACTGTTTTGTTGGATGCCTCCACCACCATAATACCGTTTCGTTGTCTGCCTAGAAAACTCTGCAAACGTCATGCCTTCTTTCAGCCTTGACGACAGAGGGGGGATTTTCTTCAGAATTTCTTGCATCAATATATGTTCACCACAAGACCCGGCTGATCCATCACCCCTGAAAGCCAATTCCATGTGATCACTTGAATCATCTTCATCGGCACAAGAGTAACCCGAGAAAGGTAGAGTTTTGTCCCATGACGGCTGTAGGAAAACCACGAAAGTCTCTCGGCTGATGTTTGGCAAGCCTAAAGGTCTACTGACAGCATGAAGCGTAGATCTCAGTTTCCCCCCTGACAGGATGCCTGCTGCCTCCCCAACCTGAACAATAAAGCTCTCCTGGGAGCATCTCACTGAGAAAATCCTCCTTTTACTGAAGAGCTGCAGGTGTGAGTGCCCATCAGGAACAGAGCATTCTTCGCTGACCGGGCATTCCTGTCCGAGAGCAGAGCGCAAGAATAATGGCGCTGTTAAGACTGTCAGCACTCCATAGTCGTAGTGCCACTCTTGCCATAAGTTCACAAGAGAAATCGTGCTGACATGACCTTGTACTGCGGCACCTTGGGACTCATTTTCTTCGGCTGACTTTACAACGGCCATCCCATCTTTTTTCGATCTTTCTGATCCTGGCATTTGATATGTATCCATGTGATCCGATACAGGTCTTGCTGCTGCTGCATTGTTTGCCAAGTTTTTCCTCCTTGTGCTGCTCATATCCTTGATAATCCTGTTATCCAACTCAGAGTGGTAGTGGATGAGCCTCGCCTTTGCGCTTCCAGAGTCGGTAATGCTCTGCTCCAGCTGATTCCCACCGATAACAATGTCGCAGGCCCGGGCAACCAGGATACCAAGCTCCATCATGCACAGACCCAGCTCCTTGAAAAGATCACCAAGGTTCTCAATGTCATCATCATCACCACCCTTGTGCTCCCCAAATCCATCGGCATCAGCCGGCACCTCCTCCGGACAACCAGGCCTGATCCCAGCGTCTCCGGTGGCTTGGCACATGAACTCCGGGGAGTGGAGCTTGCCTGAATCGTGCCTTAGGAGCCGCGCGAACGAGGAGACGGACCTGCCGGGCTTCTTGAGAGGTACGTCGCTGCCCAATCCGTGCTTCTTCAATGGAATCAAATCCCCATTGAAGGAAATCACTATCAATCCACGGCCGCCGCACTGCAATCGCAGTTTGGGAAGAGGAACAGGGGGCGGGAGGAGGAAGACGATGAGACTACAGAGGGAGGGGTTGGTTACCTTGAGGAGGTGGGCGCGGGAAGGGTGGTCCATGATTGCGAGGCGGCGGGCCAGGGGGAGGAGCCGGCGGCGGAGGGCGATGGCGCGCGGGACGCCGGAGACGGCCAGAAGCCCGGCGCCGCCCGGGCCGAGCGCGGCCCAGACGGTGGCCAGGAGGCGGCGCCGCCGGCCATCGGCGTCGCCCGCTGCTGCCGCTTCCGGCGAGAGCAGCAGGAGGAGGAGGTCGGCGAAGGGGATCTCGTCGATGTCCAGCACCGTCGCCGGCGCCGTCTCCGCCATGGTGTGGGCTCGAGCCCGGAACCTTCCAGTCCAGGGTGGCCCAGCGTGTTGCTCTTTGACTTTTTTGAGTCTTTGTTTAAATTTAAAAATCAATCAACTTCCTTCAAGGAAGGAACCTTTTGAAACCGCGTATAAATGATTCAAAAAAAATCTTATAAATGTGCATCATTTGTTTAGGAACATTCTATAAGCCTCTTGTAACGTGGGTCGAACTTTGACCATAATTTTAGGACCCTGATAACGCGCGACTGTTCGGTCTGGGAGCACGCCAGACCGAAAGTTTCGTTCGGGACGGAAGGGGATCGATCGAACACGTACAACTTGTTCGGGAGGAGAATGCTCCAGCACTATATTAAGTTACAACTAGTAAAAAAAACCCGATTTTTCTGTGATTAATAAACAATGTTCTTTTAGACGTCATAATTGCCATTCTGTGATATTTTTTTTGCCACACTCAAGTTTATGTTTTTAAAAAATGGCGAAAAAGGAAGAAATCATGGCAATTTGCATCTGTACAGTATGCAAAACTGCCATCACTACGAAGTCTACAAAAAAAACAGTTGCCATGAAGTGATAGGGTGAAAAAAGCTCTCTGTAGACACATAGGAAATTTTCAGAAAAAAATGGAGAAAACATCTTAAGTTGTAATGATATTCTACATGTAATCTCCATGGCAAAAACAAATTTGAAAGAACAAACTTGCCATGTTTTCAAACTAATTTGTAATGTCAAGTTTACATGTTTAGTTACCATGGCAAGTTTGCATATTTGTGAACATGTTAATTAAAATAAGTTTCTCATGTTTTTGAACAAACTTAATTAAAAGAAGTTACCATGTTTTTGCACATATTAAAGTTTGCCATGTTTTTGAACATTTTAAAATGCCTTGGCACATTTTTTAACATCTACAAAAGGTTGCCATGTTTTTTATCATCGTATATTGCGATGGAAAAGTTTGTCATGTTTTTCAACAATTATAACTTTGCCATGGCAAGTTTACATGTTTTTGAACATGTTAATTAAAGAAGTTTGCCATGGTATAAAATGGAGTAAAATTTGCCATGGCACAAATGGTTTAAATTTTGCCATGGCAATAAAGTAGTACTTTTGCCATGGAAATAAATTAAAAAATGTCATGGTTACACAAGTATATTTAAGATGCTACATAGTAAAATTTACCATGTTATATAAATTTAAATTTGCCATAATATTTGAACTAAATTGCCGTGCTCTTTATAATAAATTTGCCATGACGACATAAACTAAAAATTGCCATGGCAACCTAACCTAAAATTTGCCATGTGAAAATAAACGTACTTTTTTCATGGCAAAAATGGAGCGAAAATTGCCATATCAAGAAATGGATTAATTTTTGCCATGGCAAGAAATGGATTAATTTTTGCCATGGCAAAAATGGATTGGCAAGAAATGGATTAATTTTTGCCATGGCAAAAATGGAGTACTTTTGCCATGGGAATATATATTAAAAAATGCCATGGCTATACAAGCATATTTACCGTGCCACGTAGTTAAATTTGCCATCATATTTAAAACAAATTTTTTGCCATGTTCTTTACAATAAATTTGCCACAACGACTAAAACTAAAAATTGCCATGGCAAGTTAAATTAAAATTTGCCGTGTCACAATTTGCACACAAAAAATCAGTTTTTAATGCTTTTACTATTTATTTTTATTTTACTGTTTGTTACTGAGCATATGAGCTCGGGACTAATACTCCGCGTCCTCACTCGATATGGTTTTGGATGAATCGTGCCAAGCAGGAGGGATAAAAATGTTGACAAAAAAGACCCAAACACACACTTTGTGCATTAAGGGACTAAAACATATATTTCGTAAACCAAAATCTTGCTGACTTGAGATGGTTTGTTGCTTCTTTGAGCTAATGCGCTGTATACCATGGACCAATAACAAGTTAAGCGAAATCCAGGGGCGCAACGGAAACAGGAACATCAACACAAACAAACGGAAATAGATAGATCGAACCCTACAAAAATCTTAGGAATGAGTGACAGAAGAAAGACCATCGATCAGCCCATCAGCCAAGATCAGAATAGGAGTATAAAAAAAATTCAAAATAACAAAACAAAAACAACACGAGCATAAAAGGCACACACTGATCAAAACGATAGCTTGATGTTACTCAAGTTACTAGCAGAAGTAAGATAACACGGAAGCCGAGGCCATATAAACCAAGAACAGGATGAGGCACTTCGCCCCATACCCATCGTCCACATAAATAAAATTCCACACACTAGCACCACTCAAAGCAAACTTCATATGTTCATATATAAATATAACTAAGCTGACAAGCAGAGTTGTCTGGCAGCCTCCGACGCTAGTTGCAGTGGATCATCGTTGAGCCATCCCTTGCTGCGCCTGTTCCATCCGAAATATTAGCTCCTCCTACATGATTCTTGTTCCTAACAGTGGAGCAGGAATCTATGGAAGATAACCTTCCCAAGGCCAATAGCTTGCGTCACCGGTGCTCATCATGCTGCCATAGGCTGATGGTGGGGTAGACATCTGTGGAAGCTGCCATGTGCCGATAGGTCGCACCACACCCATGCTCATCATGCTGCCATAGGCTGATGGTGGAGTAGAGATATGTGGAAGCTGGCCCGCGGAGCGCTGATAGCTTGCGCCACCCGTGCTCATCATGCTGC